TGGGGAACCTCCGACGAATGAAGGGTGGGCGCGGTGGAGCAGGAAGGAGCAGAGTGCAAGGGCCCGGAAGACAAGAGAGAGGGAGTAGAGGAGTTTTAATTAAATGGGGTTTTATATTAAAAAAAAATTGGCAGGGCTCTTGTGCCTTTATAAGCAGACAGGTATCCAACAGGTGCAGCCCTTCTCAGCGTTTGCTGAGTATTCAGGCCCTGTAGCTGCCTCTTTACCTGTAGCTTGAGCTGCAGGTGATAACGTTCATTGCTATGCCGTGAAAAGTTTCACCTACCGACCTCTGCAAATTAGTCCCTTCTTAGATTGGTAGGCTAGGTTGCATGTGTGTATTCTTTCAAGCATAGGTAGGTGTTGTAGCAAAGCTGCTGGTGTTGAATTTGTGCTTGACAGGGAGTTGTCACGTGGTTAGCGGGAGTGGGTGGGAAGGAGGCAATATGGGGGGAAGAAAAGAGGATCATCTCAGAGCCAGCAAAATATATTCATTAAATTCATTGACTTAGAGCCTTTCTTCCTGATGGGGAGCCAAAGTGACTTAGAGCATTCCCCTCACTTCCATTTTATTTTCCCAACAATCCTGTGATGTAGGTTAGGCTGAGAGAATGTGACTGGCCCAAAGTCACCCAGGAAACTTTCATGGCACCAGTGGGGATTTGAACCCGGGTCTCCCAGATACTGTTCCAACCACTACGCCACATTGGCTCCCCTCATATGAATGGGGATGCTAAATGATGCTAATGTGATCTTTTACCCTGTAACATTAGGATAAAGAGGGTTGGTAGGTGGGTTAGAGAAGCCTAGTCATAGGAGCTGTATATTCAGAGGTAGAGTCCTGGACAACAGGAAAATTGTACATGCTTACGGTGGAGTGAATGGCAGGCAGATGGAGTACATTTGCTAAGTGCTTACAGACCTGAACAAAAGACCTAAAACTCACTGGATTGGTTTGGTGGGCCTTCTTTATAGCCAGAAGCTCATTGCTATTATAATACAAGTTACTTTTCCCCAGGATCTGCCTCCCCAACCTCGAAGCAAAATCTCTTTGTACTGTGTTATTGCATTGTTTCAAGGTCAATTTGATGAGGTCCTGTTTACAGGGTAGTTTACTGCAAGATGACAGTATTGAATACACACCATCCCTTGATTGTGTATGGTGTCTAGGTCAGGAGCCCTTGACTTTGCTTGCTTTTCTTCTGGAAAAACTGATTGTGTACACATTAGTAGGAAGGTTATCTCTAGTGAGTGGAAGCACTGAACCCCTGTAGTATGCAAGAGGTTTTGTTTGAGAATGATCTTATTTTATACAGGCAGTGGACAACCTTTCAGTCTTAAATATGTAAGTGTACCTGGTACACATATAAGGCTCCATAAATCCTCTAGTGATTCTGAGGTGACCTCATTTTAAGGGGTTCTTCTGGTTGTTACAGTTAAAAGTGCTCTAGAACTTAGTAGGCTATCTCTGACAGCTGTTTCAAAATTAAGCACTTTGTCACTCCCTAGTGCAACAGGCCATCCACTCTTCAGTGTCTCTTGGTTTTCACATTTTGTTGTATTCCTAGTAGCTCAGCTTATGGATCATACACAGGGGATGTTTTGTGTTCCTCGGGATGGGCTCCACATGGATTTTGGTGTCATCTTTCAACTGTGGCAGTGTTAGTTTTCTAATTTTTATTGGAAACAGTTCCGGCTTTCTTAGAGGATAGGAAAACCTGTTTGTCATAGTTGGGGTGATAAATGTGAACATGAGTTTTCTAAAGTGTATAACTACAAATAATGTTTTAGTAGTAAACAAGCTGGAGACCTGCAAAGACTTGCAAGGGTCATCTGATTTTCCCCACCCCCACTGTTTTTTCTTTCTGTACCCTGAAAGTCCTCCTAGCCTTCTTGCTTTCCTGCCAGCCAACCTACTTTTATCTCTCTCCCCCCCCATCTTCAACTTTCCCTCATCCTTCTCCTTGGCAGCCTCTGCCTGGGAAACCTATGGCCCAATTGCATGGTGCCAGCTGCTAGGCCAGGCCCATTTGTGTGGTGGGAACTAGCAAGAACTTTTCCCTGTGTATCGCTTTCTCTACACTGTTTCCTTTTCTCCATCCTAGCAACCCTCATATTCTCACGTTTTACTTCTTCCCATCCACCAACCAATCTACTTTTTATCTGTCTCCCTATCTTCAGCTATATTATTTATTTACTTCTTTTATTACCCTGCCTTTCTCTGCAATGGGAACCCAAAGCAGCTTACATCATTCACCTCCTCTCCATTTTATCCTCACAGCAACTCTGTGAGTTAAGTTATGCTGGCAGTGTGTAACTGGCCTAAGGTCACCTCCATAGTGCAGTGGTGATTTGAACCTTTCCCCCCCAGTTCCTAACCTGACACTCTAACCACTACAGTATCCGTGATTTCATGGGGTGGCTGCTGCTGAACAGTAGCAAGCAGCTGGATCTGGGTGAGTCATGCAAGTTAGGTGATAGCAAGTCACTTAGAGGTTGCTGCCAACCTCTCTTTATCCCACCTGCCTTCTGTCATCAAATCCAAGAAGACTGTCTCCATCTTCAGCGTTCTGTCCTTCATACCCCCTGGCAACTGATCTCTGGGAAAACTATGGCTGAGTTGCACACTGGCCCCATTTGTATGATGGGGAGTCTGCAAGGACTTGCAGGGAGCACCCTGATTTCACCTATATCATCTTCCCCACACTATTTCCTCTGTCCTCTGGCAGCCCCCATATCTTCCTTTCCCTGCTTCCTTCTCTCCTTCCTACCCACCAACCAGAGTACCTTTCATCTACCCCATCTTCAGCTAAGTTTATTTTTTATTTTCTTCATTTGTACCCTGTTCTTTCCAGTGGGAACCTAAAGCACCTTATATCATTTTCTTCTCCTCCATCTTATCCTCACAACAACCCTGTGAGGCCGGTTAGGCTGAGAATGTGTGATTGCCCAAGGACATTCAATTACCTGCTATGGCGGGTGGGGGGGGATTCCCACTTGGGTCTCCAAGAATCCTAGTCTGAGAGTCTAACCCACCACAGCACACTGGTTTTTGTGGGATGGCTACTGCGAACAGCAGCAAGCAGTCAGTCTTGTGTGAGTCATGCAAGTTGCATGGTATCAAGTGGCCTGATAGTTGCTGCTGGCCCTGGCCCTGATGAGTCCTCCCTCAAAGGGCAAAACAGCCTTGGAAAGGGCCGTGCTCCCTCAGGCTTTCTTTTACTGAGGGAAACCAAGGCTTGAAGGCTGCAATACTGTTGTGGTTGCATAGCAACAGCCACTAAGAGAGCCATTTGCTTCTTAAAACTGCAGGTGCTGCTTCTGTTATGAACTCTTCAATGTGTGTGTGTATGTGTATGGGGGGGGGGATAAAATTTTCCCCCCTGCAAACTTGGGGCTTTTTTCTGGTTTGTAGGAAGACTTTTCTTGTGTGTTCATGGCTCCAGTCTCTAGATTTAAATAGCTGCAGATTTGACCATGTTGAGAATGAGATATATTGATGGTAGAGGCCTAAGGGTCTGGCATCTTAATGTGAGTCTAATTGTACTTCAGAATCTGTAAAAAGGCCGTTTTAAAAACTAGCATAGTCCTTAGCCAGTAATCAGCTTTTTATGACACCCATGTAAATTATGCTACCTGTATACAAATAAAAGTTTGTAAATTAGCATGCATCTTCCAGTTCAAGATTGGTTTCTGGAATGGCTTATATTTATAACAAATTACATGGGAATGGGAGTTGGGTAGAGGATAAGTCTGAGATGAGGTAGACAACCCATGAGCTATTTAGAATATTGAATTCCAGTGCCCAATAGTTGATCCTTTTGTCCTTTATTTTAGTTCCCAGTGCCTCTCCATATACTTATATTTATACATATATACATTATTTCTGTGTTCAGTAGTCAATATCTTTCTCTTGCTGCAAGTAAGCATCTTCCTTCTCTACTGCCTTATGAAATAGTAGTAGAGTTTTCAGAATGCTAACCTGCAGTTTTTGAGAACTAAAGAGAGTGTTACTTTTGGAAACCTGATTTCATTTTTAGTACATTCAGTTTTAAAAAATCCAAATATTCCCCTTTTTCCCCTAACCAGAAGCTTAGGCATGCTTATATAACTGAATAGGGATTATACTCCAATAACCAAAAGTTACTAGTTTGAATTGGAGAGATCTGAAAGTTGTGTGGATGTCTAAGAGACTGTCTAAGTGATACAGCATGTTTCCATCAGACTGCATGCTGAGCTGAGATACCAGTTTGGAAGTGCTTGGTCATGCAAGGAAGCAGGGCTTTTTTTTGCAGTTCTGTAGGATTAATGGAAGTCACCCATCTTTCAACAGAAGATGCAGGAAGATTGCCTTTGTGGGTGTTGCATTCTATGTATTATCTGCACCAGAGTCACTTGGTATCATGTCAACCCTGGAGGAGGTAGACTCCTGTTCATAAGTCCTAGCTGTAAATTGTTCTGAGGTAGGCAGTTGCTGTGTTGTGTTTTTATTAGGTTGTTGCAGAGTTGAGCCATGTTATTTTAAGATGGTTAATGACTTGCATCTATAAGGAAGTGCACTTCTAATTCATGTAGCAGCTGTCATAATGCAGCATACGCACTGATTCAAGCTATTTGGTTTCTTTTATCCCAGCTCTTCCTGCAGCTCAGAGAGGTGTGTGTATATTAAATATAGGATGTCCCTAAGTGCCTCCCATGTCCTTGTTCAGTACTCCTTCTCTGGGTAGCATTTATATTTACTTCAGAGCATGAATAACTTTATTGGAGAACTGAACAGGGCTATGAAACCCTTCCTGAGAAATTGCCTTAAATTCCCCCTCTCTAGTCCACATGCTTCTGTGGAGGAGGTGGGGAAGTTTGGAAAACACAGCTTTGCTGAGCCCATTGGGACTCCTCTGTGCACAGGTATTGTGCTTGTATTTCGTAGGATCAAGTCTGAATATGTTTTCTGAATATGTTAATATACTTGTTTTCCCTCTCTTCTTCTTTTGCAGGTCTCTCTTGCAATTATGGAGATCTAAAAGATCTAGGTAGTGCGGAGGGGGAAGTCCCCCTCCCACTCCTTCGTTTGCCTTCTGGATTCTCTCCCCCCTTCCCTTGGACAATAATACAACGTTTTGTAGATAAAGAAATGAAGACTTGAAATATAAATTTATATTGTTGAAAATTATTTATTTTTTTAAGTGCTGAGCCTTAACAGCACAATGATTCCCATGGCAGCTGTCTGAAGCCGAATTAAGTACTTGGAAGTCATGAACTTCTTGTGAAGCATTGACAAAAGAAGAGGTAGGAGTCTAGGAAATGAATAAGATGAATTCTTTCATGCCTGACTGCACTTTGAAGTGTCGATCATTGCGGCATGCTTTAGATGTTGTTTCTGTGGTGACACGAGGAAGTGAAGGTCAGATCAAGGCCTTCCTTACTTCTCACTGCTATAATGCAGCAACGTGCAGGGATGTCTTCGGCAGGAATGCACTTCACCTTCCCACCTCCTGTGGTAAGAAAGGAACGCTGGAGTGGCTGGCAGAAACGAATGGAGTGGATTTGTTGGCAAAAGATGAGGAGTCAGGATGGACAGCTTTGCATCGAGGCATATTCTATGGCCATATAGATTGCGCGTGGTCGCTAATGAAGGTCAGTGTGAACCAAGTTAATAGTGATTGAAAGTTCCTATTGTACCTAAAGTCTTGAGAAACTAATGCAAGATAAACTAAAGAGAAGTGCTATATATCCTGGTGCACAATTGCAAAACACATACTTTTAAAATCTATTTATTGTGGTTGGTTAAATGAAAGCCCCAGTAGATTTTTCTCCTGGAAAATGTTGTGACTGTATTCAAAACCATTTATTCCCCATTTAAGCTAAACAAGATGGGGTGGCTTAAAGACAGCTTATTTTCGGGGTTTTGCTGTGCTTTCCCCTTAAAATCACTTTTAATGGAGAACATCCCCATGTGCGGGCATTACAGAAAAAGTTTAAATACAGATAGAACAATCAGTGTTTGAATGGAATCAAACACGCACAAATAGTGGTTTTTTAAAAAATCCCTTTGTGTTACTGCCAATGTATAGCCCAAGCAGCCTTTACTTCATGCATGTCACAAGACTAGTGGTTCCTGTCTTCAGCATTTTTACTGTCAACATTTTACCCTCAGTTCATCACAGATACAAAGTGTGACACTTCTGGAGAATCCTCAGCATTAAAAATATTGAGCTTCTTTCCTAGTGGTAGCACTTCATTAATGTATCACATCATGGAATGTAACCTGGAATCAGGTAGCAATTTGCAAATTTGTCCCTCCATGAAATCGTTAAACCTACATGTTGAACCTGTATAGTTAAAACAAGTTTTTAAAATGCTTTGCAGTATCACTTGCACATTAAAGGAAGGATATATTTTGATTAATTTAAAACAAATGCTCTTTCATCTAGGGAACTGAGTATGTGTTTGACTTCTCTGTCTAAAGTGAGATAAGGAATGTTCCGATTCAGCATTGTGAGGACATTTGAAATAAGAATTTTTTTTGCCTGTTTTTGTTCTTTAATAACATGTACTGTCAATATGTCTTTTTCTCTTCCCCCCCCCCCCCCCCGGCCCTGACTGCAGCATGGTGTGAGCGTATACCTACAGGATAAGGAAGGCTTATCTGCTTTGGATCTTGTAATGAAGGATAGACCAACTTATGTTACTTTCAAGAATACTGGTATGGCATATACGTGGATTATTATTCTTGCACATATAAATTAGAACAGCACTACAGTAGTGTTTGGGAAACACATATTTTGAAACTCTGCTGTGTGTTCAACCTGCTGATCTTTTGGGATGTATGAATCTCATTAAATTGTGGATACTGGAATGTATGAATCTCATTAAATTGTGGATGCTAGGTTATATTCAGCACACTCTTATGTATGAAGTTGCAGATCCAGAAAGTCTAATACTTGCAATCAGCTAATGGAATGGTCATTATGTTCTGCCACTGCTAAGTGTCTACTTTCAATCCGGGGTGGGGAAGACTGCTTGGACATACAAGACTTTTCTTCCCTTGGACAGTAATTCATGGCAAAATGAAACCTAACAGAGTTGTTTGGGAAGGTGTATAGCCCCCAAACAGAATCCAATGGGGTTTATTTTTTCCCTTTTGGGAGGTTAGAAACGGCTGGCCAGCCAGGCAATCACAGCTTCGTAGCCTGACCTACCTCCTGTCCCACAATTATTTCTTTGTTAGTGAGGGGATGTGAATTTAGTTACAGTTAGTGCAGGGGTCTCCAACCTTTTGAAGCCTGTGGACACCACTGGAATTTTGAGAGGGGAATGGTGAGTGTCAGCTGGCCCAAAATGTCTACCACAGGAGGTGGTGTCAAATGCGATATTTCTATCCCCACTTTGCAAAATAATTGCCAGAAGGTGAATAAAAAGAATGGAAGGAATACCCACGGGGAGAGATTGAAAAAGAGAAGGGAGAGTAAAAAGAAGGAAAGCCTGAAGGGCGAATAGAACCACAAATCGAGGTGCTTAGCAATCTTCCTGATTCTGTAGTGACTGTTGCTGCTGCTATTACATCTGTGGAAAACCGTTTCATTTGAATAAGGGCAGCCGATGCACATACGAAGCTGCCTGACACTGAACCAGACCCTTGGTCCATCAAGGTCAGTGTTGTCTGCTTATACTGGCAGCCGCTCTCCAGGGTCTCAGGTAAAGGTCTTTCACATCACCTACTGCCTTATTCTTTCAACTGGAGATGCCAGGGATCAAACCTGGGACCTTCTGCATGCCAAGCAGATGCTCTATCACTGAGTCACAGCCCCTCCGATAATATGCCCTGTCTTACAGTGCCCCCGCCCACTTCCTGAAAAGCTTGGCTGGTGCCAGAGGAAGTAGTGGTGGGTGCCATGTTGGGGAACCTTGAGCTAGTGTATTTGTATAAGCTATGCAATAGTTCAGGGGTTTTCTCTTCTAGCTTCCTGGGTGTGCCTGTCACTGCGTGCATATCTTTAGCCATGCCTTGTGTGTGTGGAGTTCCAAATAAGATGCAGGTATTTTGAAGTAAATGTGATGTTGACAGCAGCCTGAAACTCACTTTGAACCTGTTGGAGTATGGCTTTTCACATTCTTCTAAGTTATTAATAAATCATGCTGTGTACTTTCTTCAAAAGTATGTATGTTATGCTTAGCCCTTATGCATTAGCTGAAAATAGAACACTTTCTCCTGTAAGCTGTGTCCCATTCAGCATGGCTGGAATTGTGCTAATGTCTCCTTTGTTTTTGTTTTGTGTTATTTTGGGGTGGGGTGGGGATGTACTTAAACTGTATTTACTGGGTTAGCTCTGCAGTCTGTTGGTGTTGGAGGCTTTGAAAGGATGATATCTTAATTTATATTTTTCAAATGTTTTTATACGTAGCCCTGTGCTAGCAATAAACCAATGTGCTTTAATCTTCCAGGAGGTAGCTTTGTGGGATTGTATGGAGTCTTTTAGCCAAAACTAGAAATTGTAGTAAAACAATGCATCTCATGCACATGTGTAGAAAATGATACATATGGAATTAATCATTTTCTGTTAGATCCTACAGATGTCTACACTTGGGGAAACAATATAAATTTTACTTTGGGGCACAGTGGCCAGCAGAGTAAACATCATCCTGAGTTGGTGGATTACTTTCCTAGGAATGGTATTTATATCAAACAGGTAATTAATTCCATATGAACAGATTTTAGACTTTTTTTTTTGTTCAGCATAAACTGACAGCATGTTCTTTCTGCTATTTGTATTTGAATATACTGTCCCTGTACAGAATGTATATGAATTGTGTCACGCTAAGGGTTGGCCTACTTCAGTCTTCTGTGGTTAACTTTTAAACAATATGTTATGGCGTTCTAGTGGTGCACTGTAGCCAGCAGGTGTTAGATGTTCACTAATCCCATACATATAGAATTCTGTGTTCAGTATAGTTTTCCCCTCGGGAAATATGAATGATGGTGTGCGTACATTAAGTGCTGTCAAGTCACAACCCCGACGTATTGATGGCCCTATCAGGTTTTCAAGGCAAGAGATTAACAGAGGTAGGTAGCCATTTTTGGCCTCTGCATAAAACTCTGCAATTCTTTGGTGGTCTCCCATTCAGGCTGACCCTGCTTAGTTTCTGAGATCTGAGGAGATCTGGCTAGCCTGTGCCATCCAAGCCAGGGCATGAATGATTGTGAATATCATAAAGTGCAATTGTCTTTTTAAAAGCATGTTCCCCCCCCCTATTTGTTTTTAGGTTTATTTTTTCAGTGACAAAAAGATGTTAACATAAAGCTGTAAAAGCAGTGACATATGGTTAACAACTGAATGTTGAGTATCTTACTGATATTCAACAAAAAAAATCTGATTTCCTTGTGCAGTGTTGTAGAAACCGATTTCACTTAAAGATAATTTGCGGAAAGGTTAAATCTTTGTTGTTTTTCTTTTAGGTGGTGCTCTGTGATTTTCACTCTGTGTTCCTGTCCCAGAAAGGACATGTTTATACCTGTGGACATGGTCAAGGAGGTCGTTTGGGTCATGGTGATGAACAGACTTGCTTGGTATTCTACAATTCATGTCTCAGTATAATAACTGGTTATCTGCTCTTATCAGTGGGGCTTGTTATAGGCATGCATTGGTCTTTGGATTAAAAAAACCCCCCAACATAATATACTTCAATTTGTCAGAAGCAGCCTGTCAGTACACTGTCAGAAGCAGGAAACTTTGTGAGCTTTTTCTTTTGAACTGATAAAAGCATCCTTACCCATGGAGATCTTGGCATGTACATATTCACTGGAATGATGTGCAGCTCTGAAAGTACCATCTTCTGTAGGCCTTCTTCCTTGTACCATCTTTTTTCCATCATGTAATGCCGAGGGAGTAATACCCAACCCTTTGGTTGAGGATACTTTTGGTACTGATGGTTATGCAGTAGGTTATGAATGATAGTTGTTGAGTTACCCATTGAGTTTAGTATCCTGGTATCTCTCTTATGTTCTTATGTTCTTATGAGTTTAGTATCCTGGTATACACTTTCAGTTCCACTGGCTGTCAAAGATACTCTTAGTTACTGTGGTGCTAGTAATGCTCTTGCCTCTGAAAGGGTGGTGGTGGTGGAAAGAGCCGTCAAGTCACAGCTGACTTATGGCGGCCCCATAGGGTTTTCAAGGCAAGAGATGTTCAGAGGTGGTTTGCCATTGGCTGCTGAGATCTGATGAGACCTGGCTAGCCTGGGCCCTTCAGGTGAGGGCGAAGAAGAGTATCTGCCAGACAGTGTAACATGCTAGCTTGGATGGGCATTCACGGGCTGTGATTAGTCCAGTGAAAATTTAAAATACAGATTAACACTTGTATTAAGCATGCGTGTAAAATACACATTAAAATGTAGCTCCCAGTCCATTTGGTGCAGAAGAAAGCTTTTTGTTTTGAAAGCTTTTTGTTTTGAAACTAGTCTTTTGCATGATCCATTTGAACAGATGGGAACTTACATTTTTTGTTGCCCCAAATACCTACATGCAACTGTACTTTGGTTGTCTTTTGACTGTCATTTGATTTTGTCCCCCTTAAACTGCGAAGTTCAGCTGTATAGATTTAGTTTTTGCCCCTTGGGAAGCTTGACATCATGCTGACAGATGTTATGACAAGGCACAAGTGACAAACTACAGTAGCTTTCATCGCAAACTAGGAGATGCGTTAAAGCTGGTTTTTCTGGCTTTCTTTTGCATAGTGTTCTCTTTCTCATTTGTGGAAGGAATAAGATGCTGGACTTCAGATCAGTGAAAGTTAGTAGAAAACGATAAGAGAATAGGGCTTCCTTCCCTGTCAAGTGAATATATTCTCAGGGATTCATGAATGCAGTAGCCCATATTTATGTCTTTGTTGCATGTGTTTGTGGAGTCTGCCCTTTTCCAAAGAAAAAGGCAGGTAGTTCTTAACCTTACACTGGGCTTTGGGAATATTCAGAAACAGGTAGCTGCAATTGTATTATTTCTTGAGTCAGGTCAATCAGGGTCAGTAGCAAATAGCATGTTTTGGAAAAAATGCTGAAAGCAAAAGAATATTATAGTGTTAAAATGTCTGCAAATCCTTATTCAGCATGAGAATTGTGACACAGTGTAGGGTGTGTGTGTGAGAGATACAATACCATTTTATTTAAAACTCATGCTTTAGTTTTGACTATAGTGCTAGAGTTCCAAACTGACACACATGTATGCCAACTGCAATATTTTCCATGGCTGATATCTTCTAGATCCCGAGACAGGTAGAAAGCCTGATGGTTCATCAGTGTTCTCAAGTGGCAGCAGCTAAAGATCATACTGTTGTATTATTGGAAGATGGATGCGTATACACCTTTGGCCTGAACACCTTTCATCAGCTGGGTATTCTTCCTCCTCCTCCTAACTGCAGTGTTCCCAGACAGGTAAAAATATTCTTTTGTAAATGGGATAGTTTCTGTCATGTTATGAGCATTTGGGTGCATCCCATGGCTGTATGTCTCCATTATCTTTGATAGAAAAAATATTTCAAATACCTTAAAATCATTATCAGTTTGTAGGCACCTGGTATACCTGCAGTTTTTCTGCTTTTGTTTGTAACCTTGCTTTCTACAAGATTCTTCAGAAGAGGACTGTAAATTTTGAACACTGTTCAGCAACATTGCCTAGCACTTTGGATCAGTAAGTGAAGAACATTTTTTAAAAAATAAAGAGCTCCTTAGTTGAGCACTGGCAGTGGTTTTAGTGGGATTGTGGCTGTACAGGTAACCAATGACTTTCTTCCAAAACAAAATCGGAACTTCCAGAGTCCTGGGACAATTTGAAAAAACATTATATGAAAAATATTTAATGGGAAGAACGTCTTGATATATATTTTTGCTTTTACGCTGAATGATTTAACTTGAGAAGGGGACTTAATAACTGGGACTGGGATTTTGTGGTAAACATCCTTAAGTTGTGGTAGACTGTAATTCTAAGATTTGGTCCACAAGACTTCAGACCACAGATTTCAGTTCCAGCTCCTAAAACTCCAGCTCCAGTTCTTTCAGCATCTAATGCATGTTTCTTTCGGCATCTAATTCCTCTAGATCTCAGTGTTAAGCGAGCAAGGCCAATTACCAAGATAAAACATTTGGTAGTTTTCATTGCTGCTTTTTAATACTGTTAATAGCAGCAGCAGCATGGCGAATACATGATTGTAAAAGTAGTCTAAAAGCTGGTTATAGAAAGTAGAACAGCTGAAGCCAATTAAACAGTTGGGAAACCACCTAGAACTATAAAGCGTGATACCTTTAACTGGGCACACATTTCCAGAGTACCGCTTGTTCATTAAATGGATCAGAGTAATAATCCTTCATTGTAAGTAATTCTTGTACTTGTTTTTATGAGTTGGACTCAAAGAGCTATGAGCTAAGCTCTGGGACTTTTCTACTTACCCGGTTTTTGCAGGCTTTGGCATCACCCAAGAAGCTGCTCACAAAGGTTGGGAGACTCCCAGGCATAAAGCTGGATGCCTGTGTGCATGGGGGGGAGGGTATTGCAGACCCTTCTTTATGTGACCCTCCTTCCTTGTGTGAGTGGAAGTGCTTTCTGTTTTGCACCCAACTTTATCTTTTTGAATGACATTAAAATTTCTGTTCCTAACAATATGCACTTACCTGGAATATTCTAGTGTGGTACATGACATCTGGTATTTCTCTTTGATTTTTGCATACAGGTTCAAGCAAAAAATCTCAAAGGAAGAATGGTGACTGGAGTAGCTGCAGGCAGGTTCCATACAGTGCTATGGACGAAAGAAGCAGTGTATACAATGGGATTGAATGGCGGACAGCTAGGTGAGGAAGAAAGCTTTAACTATAAAGCACACTTTTAGAGCAAAATCTTCTTTGATATTTCCATCCCTTTTAGAAGCAGGTTAATGTATTTGCTATCTTATGAATAAGGAGCAGCAACAGCAGGGGAAAAGGCTTAATTGAGCTACTGAAGTCTCAGACAAGCAGACACTGCTCTATTTAGCTCTTTGTGCTTCTCTATGACATCATCCTTATTTTGACTCTTTTTCTTCCCTTGGTCTGCGTGCCTTCTATTCAAGTAGTTTACAAAATTTACACGCAAATGGGGAAAGTTCAACTTTACAAAGAAGATGCTTTGGACTGAGACTCAGTTCTAAGTAAATGTGCTTGGGACTGGAGTGTAAGTGTGTTTTGTGTATTTTGTTGGTGTGTGGAAGACTGGAGCACTGCTGCCAGCTGGAGGAAACAGTACTGATCGAGGTAGACCAATGATTTGATTTACTGTAAAGCAGCTTCATGTGTTTTAATTTTATGGATAGCACCTGATCTCTATGTGTGTGAATGTGTGGCGACCTCCTCCCCCATGAGCAGAGAAGTCTTGTGCTCAAATGCTAAATAGTTATGGATCTGAAAAAGTCAACATTTAGGTTGTTTTCTTATATTGTAGGATACTTGCTAGATCCTAATGGAGAAAAGTGCGTAAGTTCTCCTCGCCAAGTCTCCGCTCTGTATCATAAGGACATTACTATGTCCTTCGTTGCTGCAAGTGATGGTGCCACGGTTTGTATTACTGAAAGAGGAGATATCTATTTGCTTGCCGACTACCAGTGCAAGAAGTTGGCTTCCAAGTGAGTGCTTTTCTTTGGAACATCTATATGCTTTGGAGTTTGTTTTGCTTTTTTTAGCAAACTGGTTTGTATAACCACATATTCCTTTTAAGTGGTTCTATATTAATTTAATCCCAGTTGAAAACCTCCTGGACTGTTAGGATAAATACTGCATGTTCATTATAAAGTTGTACAAAGTTTTACGAGAGCTTCATGTATGGCATTAGCTATGAAGCACTCTGGCATGCAGAATTGTTTTGGTTCTTTATGCTTCATTTTTCTTGGAGCGCAGCAAGATGGGTAGCATTCAGTGAACACAGGACAAGATAGCAAAAATCTACCTTGTATAAAAATGAATGTACTGGGTACTTGTGTGCCCTGAGTTTATCTATCAGTGCAAACCTTTAACAACAAGTTCATGGTAGCAACTCCTGCAAAAATTTCTCTGTGTTGGCTTTTTGCCAAATTTCAGGAAACGAATACTTTAAAATACCATGATTATGTAGGCCCCTCAGTCACTATCATAGAATGTTTTTATTGTCATAATACTTAGTGTTTCTCTAAAGCTTTAGAGTATCCATAGTGAATAGAAGAAGAGCCCTCCTGGTTCAGACCAGTGGTCCATCTAGTCTAGCATCTTGTCTCACACAGTGGCCAACCGGTTCCTTGGAGGGCCAACAACAGGGCATTCCCCTGATGTTGCCTCCTGGCAATGGGATTCAGAGGTTTAGTGTCTCTGAATGTAGAGGTTCCCCTCAGTTACCATGGCCTAGTAGCCCACTGATAGACCTAGCCTCCACAAACCTATCTGATCCCCTTTTGAAACTGTGTATTCCTGTGGCCATCACTACATCCATTGGCAGCAAATTCCACATTTTAATCACTCTGTGTAATGAAGTATTTCCTTTTGTCTGCCTATCAACTGCATTGGATTCCCTCAAGTGTAGTATTTTGGGAGAGTGGGAAAAATTACTCTCTGTGTAATGAAATATTTCCTTTTGTCTGCCTATCGACTGCATTGGATGCCCTCAAGTGTAGTATTTTGGGAGAGTGGCAAAATATTCTCTTTGTCAACTCTCACCACCCTATGTATAATTTTATAAACCTCTGTCATGTAGCCCCTTAGTTGCCTATAATAATGCTTTAAACACATTACCCCAGTAATCCTCCCAGCTCACTCAACATCTTATTGTTACCCTCATTTTACATACAGAAAACTCTGGTCGAGAGTGTAAGGACTTGCTGAAGGCCAGCATCATAAGTTTGTAGCAGAAGAGAACTAGGAAATCGCTGGTTTGCTTCTCAGTCGTGTAGTGACTGGTGCTCACTAGCATCATGCTAGCTTTACTACTTCTCTCTTTAAACAGTTGCATTGCACCTCAGATGATACTATTTTATAATTCAAAATGTGGTTTTTCTTTAAAATGTAAAAATAGCTTTATTCCGCACTACATTCAGAATTTGTATGGCTGTATACAAACTGGCTCCTGCCAACCTAGCAGTTCGAAAGCAAGAAATTTCAAGTAGATAAATAGGTACCACTTCAGTGGGAAGGTAACAGCGTTCCGTGCGCCTTGGTGTTTAGTCATGCCGGCCACATGACCACGGAAACGTCTTCAGACAGCGCTGGCTCTTCGGCTTTGAAACGGAGATGAGCACCGCAACCCTAGAGTCGGACTCGACTGGCTTTTGAGCAAGGGAACCTTTACCTTTATACAAACTGGTATATTTTACATATTGGCTGTAGGCATGGTACAGAATGCTGGTGAGGACGTGCAGTAAAAAGCACTGGGTGTTTCACACTGTACTGGTGGAGCTCCACCATAGGTTGGGAAGACTGATGTTCATCCCTTTACTGTATCAGCTTGTCATGATTCCTGCTCCAGGTCAAGGTTAAGGCTTTGTCATCTAAACTGTTTTGAATAGTTGCTTATTTTATGGTGGTGGAAAGTGCTGTCAAGTCACAGCTGTCTTATTGCGACTCTGTAGGGTTTTCATGGCAAGATTACAGGGCTATTTTTGGGCAGGAACGCACAGGAACGGAGTTCTGGCTGGCTCCTGAGTTGGCCACGCCCAGCAGGAACTCATTAGCATAATAGGCCACACCCAACAGCAGGAACTCATTAGGATTGGCTACATTAGAGGTGTGTGGCCTAACATGCAAAGGAGTTCCTGCTACAAAAAAAGCCCTGGGTTTTGACAACAAACAAGGTAAACAGAATAAGAAGCAAAAGGTGGGTGTGGCTGGATGAGTACACTTCTGGTAACGGGTGTGGCCTCATATGCTAATGAGCTGTGCTGTCAGGGGCGTGGCCTAATATGCTAATATGTTTCTGCTGTTGGGTGTCGCCAATTATGCTAATGAGTTCCTGCTGGAGTTTCTCTACAAAAAAAACCCTGGCAAGAGACATATCATAACCCTGGTATTCCTTGGAGGTCTCCCATCCAAATACTAGCCAGAGCGCACCCTGATCAGTTTCTGAATTATGATGAGATCAGGCTGGTCATGGCTACTTATTTTATAGCTCATATAATTTTGAAAGTTTTTATTTTTTTTTTTTGCCCCCCCCCCCCCCCCCGTTTCTATGGTGGCATGATCTTTATGCTACTGGTTGATGTGTGTGTGCCAAACTTAACTTAATGTTTCATTGTTCAGGCAACTAAATTTAAAAAAAGTTCTTGTTACTGGAGGTTATTTGGAATACCAAGTTAATCTTCAACATCTTAAGGAAAATGAAGGTCGGAGGATCCGTATTCTTGCCCTGGATGAAGCTGGAAGAGTGAGTTTCCTTTGATACTTAAACATTTTTAAAAAGAGGAGAAAACATTTCCATTAGCATGTAATGTTATTGTGGCATTAGGTGTTAAAAACAAAACCATTTGCTTGCAGCGATGTATTTTATATAAAGCTGTCTAATTACAGGAGGAAGGGGCTGCGGTGGCTTAGAGGTTAAGATGCTGAGCTGTAGACCAGAAGTTCTGTAGTTTGGCAGTTCGAGACCCTAGTGCTGTGTGATGGAGTGAGCTTATAAGAACATAAGAGAAGCCAATGTTGGATCAGGCCAATGACCCATCCAGTCCAACACTCTCTCACAGTGGCCAAAAATACCAGGTGCCATCAGGAGGTCCATCAGCAGGGCCAGGACACCAGAAGCCCTCTCACTGTTGTCCCCCCAAGCACCAAGAATACAGTGCATCACTAGCCTCAGACCAAGAGTTCCTATCTATACGTAGTGGCTAATAGCCACTGATGGATCTCTGCTCCATATGTTTATCCAATTCCCTCCAGCCTTGTAGCCATCCCGACCTCCTATGGCAGTGAATTGCATGCATTAATCACTCTTTGGGTGAAGAAGTACTTCCTTTTATCCACTCTAAACCGACCACTCAGCAATTTCATGGATTGCCCACAAATTCTTGTATTGTGAGAAAGGGAGAAAAGTACTTTTTTCTCTACCTGCTCTATCCCATGCATAATCTTGTGAACCTCTGTCATGTCACCCCCCCAGTCGTCGTTTCTCCAAGCTAAAAAGAGCCCCAAGTGCTTTAACCTTTCTTCATAAGGGTTCCAACCATTTTATCATTCTAGTTGCCCTCTTTTGTACTTTTTCCAGTGCTATAATGTCTTTTCTGAGGTGTGGTGACCAGAATTGCACGCAGTATTCCAAATGAGGTTGCACCATTGATTTATACAGGGGCATTATGATACTAGCCGATTTGTTTTCAATTTCCTTCCTAATAATCCCCAGCAGAGCGTTGGCCTTTTAAAAATTGCAGTTGCACACTGTCTCAATGTTTTCAGTGAGTTATCTACTATGACTCCAAGATCTCTCTCTTGGTCAGTCTCCACCAGTTCGGAACCCATCAACGTGTATTTATAGTTAGGATTTTTGGTCCCAGTGTACTTGGCCACACTGAACCCCATTTGCTACGTTGACGCCCACTCGCCCATCCTCGAACAATTTCGTGTCATCTGCAAATTTAGCCACTTCACTGCTTACTCCTAGCTCCAAATCATTAATTAATAAGTTAAAAAGCATCGGATCCAGTACTGATCCCTGTGGTACACCACTTCTTACCAGCCTCCACTGAGAAAATTACCCATTTATACTCACTGTTTGGTTCCTATTAATTAGCCAGTTTTTGATCCACAAGAGGACTTGTTCTTTTATCCCATGACTGTTGAGCTTACTTAGGAGCCCTTGATGAGGAACTTTATCAAAAGCTTTCTGGAAGTCAAGGTAAACAATATCTATTGGGTCCC